TGCCCAGGGAGAGACGCCAAGGCTGATAAGGCCGCTGGTTTCCAGAGCAGAACGCCGTTCGCCGCGAGGCAGGTGTGAGCAAACAGCGGTGGCGTCTGGAGAGGAAATCAATAGCCCCTGCCTGGCCGCCCCTCCGCCCGCTCTCGTCCCCACTGCCCTCAGTGCCCGACCCCCGACCAGCCCTTCCCAGGAGGGCCTGGGCTGTCTGGGAGCACCCTGTGAGCTGAGCAGCCGGGCACCTGCGGAGGTCCTGGGAGGGGGCACAGTGCAGGGCTCGGCCAGCCAGACCAGGCGGAGAGGCCTCCGGGAGTTAATGTGCACCAGGAAAACAGGGAAGGGACAGAAAACTGGGCAAAGGTGGGAAAACTGGGAAACACGTTCACCCCATGAGGTGCTCGCAGAGCCCACGTGTTCCACATGCTCGAACTCAGAAAGCACAGCCAAGACTGGCACGTCCTTTCAAGGGGCTGGGCCAGGTGGCTGAGCGGGGTGGCCCAGAACACTGTGGGGGCAGAGACAAGGCAGCAGGCCGCCAGCTGCCTGCCCACAGGGTCTGCCGTTTAGCGGTCCCTGCCCTGGGAGAGCCTTTGGCACGGTCAGGGCGAGTCAAAAGTGCCTAGTCCCGGTGGGGGGGAGCCTGGCCGTGGGCCCGGCTGGCCAGGAGGGCAGGTGCAGACGGCAGAGTAAGCTCTGCAGGGCCAGGCTGGTCAGGGCACACAGGCCGGAGAAAGCGCGCCCCTCCACACGTCACCCAGTGCCCATGGGGAAAGGCGACTGGGTCATGCAGGAGACAGAACAGACGCAGGAGGAAAGGCGGCAGGCCTGAGGAGGCCCCTGGCCAGAGCCCCTCCTGTCCCCTGAATACTCCCTGACAAGAGTCCAGGGCAGGGCCCTCTCAGAGAGCGCGCCATGGGCTGAGGACTGTTGCATGCCAAAGAAAAGCGGAATTTGCTAGCCGAATATTTTTTAGACATTTTGCAAGATGCACGGCCTCCCTGACAATTTTTAATGTACTAACTGCCTGGTCCAGTGAGCTGATTAATTGGCGCTGGAGAGATCAATAAAAAACAGAAAATTAAAACAATTTTAAAGTGATTAAGTAGTTTAACACCTGTCTCCCGTCACGTCAGCGCAGGAAGAAAAATAAAGCAGGTGTCGGAGGGGCCTCCTGAAGCAAGAGAAAACAGCGCCCGCCTCGGAGAGATGACAAATCACAGCCGGCGGATCAATCTGAGGCAGGCGGGCGGCCGGGTAGGTGGCCGGCGGGCAGGCAGGCAGCCCTTCCCAAAGCCACGGGTCGGCTGCAGCAACAGGGCCGGTGCAGCCCACCCGCAGAGCCGCCGGGGCAGGGGCGTGATTCTCAGAGTTTCTGCACTCTGAAAACGGGGGAGCCCGGGGCCCAACACTGTCTCTGCCTAAAACCATGATGGGACGGACGGGGACCGGACCCCTCCTCCTGACCCTGTTTGCGGCCTTCCCGAGTGGACTCTGCACTGCGTAATCAAGCGTGCTCAGAGATTATGCAGGCCCGTGGGGTCCTGGGACGACACCCGGAGTCGCAGACACACCTCAGGAGGCCAGACTCCATCCTTCCAGCCTCCCTGACTCCCGTGTGCGAACCAGGCAGAGCAGAACGCTGGCCACCAGCACAAATGCCCCCTCGCCCTCCAGTGGCTCTGACCAGAGCTGCCAAGCAGACACCAGGCTTTCTCCAGGTTGAACAGGAGTAAAACCACCAGGAGTAAACCCTGGGGGACAGGAAACCCCGTGATTCCCCTCAACTTCCCCAAGTCCTGGTGACATGGGCCGGGGACGTGAAGGAGAAAGCACCAGCAAGAGGCCAGGGTAGGCCCCAAACACCGTCTCCTGGTCTACCTCGGAAGTGGACTTGAACCCTGCACTTGAGATGTCCCTCAGCTTAGACACCTGCGTCCCTGCCACACTCCAGCTTTCCTGGCCTGGCACGGCACTGCTCAGACCGGGGTGATCCTGAGGCACGGGCCTCAGAGGTGCTCAGAGGGCTAGGCTGCCGGGTCGCCCTCCTGTGTGGGGGAGAGGGTCACGTGCCGGGAAAGCCCTGGCAACACTCACCTGCTCTGTGGTTCCCGGTCACCTCCTGGTCCCCTGGTGCAGCACCTCACCCGAGACCAGGACGGAACGGGGAGCCCCACACCTCGGCAGCCCCGCTCTCGGTGTCCCGCCTGCCACACCCATCTGAAAGGGACAGAAGCAGCAGCAGCATCCTGGGGGACACGGGGGCCCCCCGCCGGGGGGGGGAGCCTGGCCGTGGGCCCGGCTGGCCAGGAGGGCAGGTGCAGACGGCAGAGTAAGCTCTGCAGGGCCAGGCTGGTCAGGGCACACAGGCCGGAGAAAGCGCGCCCCTCCACACGTCACCCAGTGCCCATGGGGAAAGGCGACTGGGTCATGCAGGAGACAGAACAGACGCAGGAGGAAAGGCGGCAGGCCTGAGGAGGCCCCTGGCCAGAGCCCCTCCTGTCCCCTGAATACTCCCTGACAAGAGTCCAGGGCAGGGCCCTCTCAGAGAGCGCGCCATGGGCTGAGGACTGTTGCATGCCAAAGAAAAGCGGAATTTGCTAGCCGAATATTTTTTAGACATTTTGCAAGATGCACGGCCTCCCTGACAATTTTTAATGTACTAACTGCCTGGTCCAGTGAGCTGATTAATTGGCGCTGGAGAGATCAATAAAAAACAGAAAATTAAAACAATTTTAAAGTGATTAAGTAGTTTAACACCTGTCTCCCGTCACGTCAGCGCAGGAAGAAAAATAAAGCAGGTGTCGGAGGGGCCTCCTGAAGCAAGAGAAAACAGCGCCCGCCTCGGAGAGATGACAAATCACAGCCGGCGGATCAATCTGAGGCAGGCGGGGGGGCGGGGGGGGGGGGGGGCGGGGCGGGGGGGGGGGGGGGGGGGGGGGGGGAACCCCAGGAAGTCATTTGTCCGCAGAAAGCCCCAGCCAGAGCGACCCTCAAGTCTGCACGCCTACCTTTGCTGGTCCTAGCAGCAGCCCTTCCCAAAGCCACGGGTCGGCTGCAGCAACAGGGCCGGTGCAGCCCACCCGCAGAGCCGCCGGGGCAGGGGCGTGATTCTCAGAGTTTCTGCACTCTGAAAACGGTAAGGGGGAGCCCGGGGCCCAACACTGTCTCTGCCTAAAACCATGATGGGACGGACGGGGACCGGCTACCTCCTCCTGACCCTGTTTGCGGCCTTCCCGAGTGGACTCTGCACTGCGTAATCAAGCGTGCTCAGAGATTATGCAGGCCCGTGGGGTCCTGGGACGACACCCGGAGTCGCAGACACACCTCAGGAGGCCAGACTCCATCCTTCCAGCCTCCCTGACTCCCGTGTGCGAACCAGGCAGAGCAGAACGCTGGCCACCAGCACAAATGCCCCCTCGCCCTCCAGTGGCTCTGACCAGAGCTGCCAAGCAGACACCAGGCTTTCTCCAGGTTGAACAGGAGTAAAACCACCAGGAGTAAACCCTGGGGGACAGGAAACCCCGTGATTCCCCTCAACTTCCCCAAGTCCTGGTGACATGGGCCGGGGACGTGAAGGAGAAAGCACCAGCAAGAGGCCAGGGTAGGCCCCAAACACCGTCTCCTGGTCTACCTCGGAAGTGGACTTGAACCCTGCACTTGAGATGTCCCTCAGCTTAGACACCTGCGTCCCTGCCACACTCCAGCTTTCCTGGCCTGGCACGGCACTGCTCAGACCGGGGTGATCCTGAGGCACGGGCCTCAGAGGTGCTCAGAGGGCTAGGCTGCCGGGTCGCCCTCCTGTGTGGGGGAGAGGGTCACGTGCCGGGAAAGCCCTGGCAACACTCACCTGCTCTGTGGTTCCCGGTCACCTCCTGGTCCCCTGGTGCAGCACCTCACCCGAGACCAGGACGGAACGGGGAGCCCCACACCTCGGCAGCCCCGCTCTCGGTGTCCCGCCTGCCACACCCATCTGAAAGGGACAGAAGCAGCAGCAGCATCCTGGGGGACACGGGGCACCCCAGCCAGTTGTCCTCGTAGACATGGACTGGCCAAGGTCCCCTTTCCCGGACGCCCCTCTGGGCTGAGGCTCTGGTTGCACGTCCAGCCCAGGTGGAGTTGCTCTGAATAAACGTGATCGGGCCATGTTCACCCCAAAAGGTGCCAAACCCTGCACGGCAGACCGGATGCCAAGGGAGATCTCGCACACAAAAACAGAGTTCTGATCTTCAGCCGTCTGCACCCTTTGAAGTCATCCACACAGCCCAGGTCCCATGTAACACGGGCCGTTCCTCGGCATGCCCTGCCACAGGCCCACTCAGGCAGAGACAGGGCCAGGAAGAAGCTAGCGAGTCCTGCAGTCCAGCTTCTCTCGGGAGGTCGTCTGCTGGCACAGGGTATCTGCCAGGGGTCTGTGCCACCCCCCAGGGAGGCTGACGGGGCTCACAGCTGAGCAGAGGGGTCTGGCTGGGACCGGGCATGGCTGGCAGCAAACACCAAGTTCCAGACTCGTTGCCTTGGGCCTGCGGCTGCTCCCTGTAGAGCGAGCCTCAGACTGACGGAGATAAAGTTTCCCTGGGCCCAAGTTCCTACCTCGGCTGTTTTGTTTCTGTTAAAACGCAATTGTTTTTTCTCTGGAGTGGTGGTGACTGCCCGGCGTCAGGAAGATGTATGAAAACCTCCACTTCAATTCAGCATCCCTTTTCTCCCAGACAAACACGGTTGGATTTTAATAAATCAAAGAGCCACACTGTTTAATAAAAATTTATTGACTTACAAGTGATTATTTATCAAAAGACCATTAATAGCAGGTACTGAAATGATGTGTTACTGGGTGGTGCTGGGAGACTAATAGGAAATCGATGCGGCCGGCCGGGCGGAATGCATATGAGGGCCCACCCCGGCAGCCAGTGCAATCTCCCCCGCAGAACACGCCAGACGCTACCCCTGCTGCAATGGAAAGCTCCCCCCTTTTATTTATCGTTTACAAATGAAATGATCAATACTTTTAATCTAGAGCAAAATTTATTAACTTTCCCATCGGAGAGAGACATATTGACTGGGCGAGCGGGTGAGCGCAGGGAAGATGGATGGCCGGCCGGTGGGCTCCCAGCCTGTCCAGGGGCCAGTGTGCAGCGGCTGCCCTCTGGCCAGCGTCCCTGGCTCTACAGGACGGGTGCGCCTGGAGGCCAGTCCGGCCACTCGAGATGCACTGCAGGTACAGACCTAGGATGGAGGATGGCGGGAAGCTCTACCTGCGGACACCCGAGTGTTCTGGGCAGTTCCAGGAAGGAAAGGGCAGGACTCACCAGATGTCCCAGGGCCACAGGTCCGGCCATGGAGGTCTGTCGCTCGCCACTGGCCTGTGGGGCGCTCCACTCCGCTCTGTAGAGTGCCCTGCACCACACTCACCCGGCAGGCCTTTGCAGCGACAGGAACTGGGGTCTGGCCCGGTGGAGAACCAAGTTCTGACGTGGGTTCTGCGGCATCAGGGACGTCACAGCAGCCTGCTCCAAGCCTGACCTGCGAGCTCCGGCCTGGCTACTGCCTGCCACTGCACCTCCTTTGGGGGGACTGTACTCACCTTCCCAGAAAGTTCCTTCCCTAGCCAGCTAGAAAGTCTTGTGTTTGAGTGAAGAAATTGTTCAAGCTCTACAGTCAAACCACCCAGAGGAGTGTGGGATGTTCCTTTGCATGCGGGGACACCCTCTAGCGGGGGTTAGTCTCACCAGCCTTGATGTTTTAGAAGGAAAAGAGATTCAAAAGTGACCTCTTATTTCAGAACCCGGAAGACTTCAGAGCTCAAAGCCAAAGTATGAATCAAAGGCTTAAAAAAATGATAGAAATTTCGGAGGTGGAAAAGGCCGTCGAAAGCATGCAGCCCGAGTCTCTAGTGACCAACCAGGAAACACACGCAGCAAACAGGCAGCAACATGTGGGGGTGGGGTGAGACGCTGCCAGGGCCTCCCCTCAACTCCACGATCGCCCCTATTCTGCCGAGATCGCGGTGGACAACACCTGGCACCGCGCGTCTGAAGCGTCCCGAGGCTTTATCTCCTGAGTGCAACACAGTTTCCCAAAACACACACTCTGACTAGGGACGGGAACTCGGGGCCCGAAGGATTCAAATGCACGAAGCTGCAGCTGCGCCTGCATGGAGTCAGCAGATACGGACGTCCCGGGTTCACCTCTGCGGTCCAGGTCACACCTTCCCGTGGCTAATGCAGAGGCATGGGGCAGCGCCGCCCGGCCCCAGCGCGTTGCCAGGCAGGTCGGACGTGAGGAAGCAAACGGCTACGACAAGACGCAGGGCTGGACAGTGGCACGGCAGTTAAAGCCTCACACTCGGCAAAGCAATCCACGAAGGCTCTCGGTTCACGGGAGACCCCCGATGCGCCAGGCTTCCCCTTGACTTGGCCGAGAGCGAGGGCAGGGTGAGGGGTGGGGTGGACTGGCGCCAGGGCTGACTGGGGGTGCTCTCTCTTGCTCCTCTCTCTCACTCGTGGAAGGAAAAATAAAGTTTAAAATACAAACAATAAAATACGAAAACTATGGGGGCCAAGAAGTAGCATGGTGGTTAATGTACCAGGTCCCCACATGGCCAACCACGGTTGAAGTCCCGGACCGAGTAGCTTGGAAATCACACTGGGCACATGCACACGCGTGTCCAGAATCCCAGGAGGAAAATGGAGAAGGGAGCGTGGCATGGCCACCCCCACCAACGGGTGATTTCTCACTTTTCCTGTCTCTCTTCGGCGGACACATCCACCTTATGTCAAAAACCTTAAAAACAAAATTCAAGAATTAATAAATCACGAACAGAAGTTCCAGAGAACTTTTAAAAAGGGAATTTGACCATCAAGACCAATTTAAAAGATCCTTCGACTTTTGGACATTATAAATTACCTCCTATAAAAGCTGAAAAACCACTTTTAATTTATTTATAGTTAGTTTGCTATAAGGTAAGTGGGATCACCAGACAGAAACAGAAAGGGTAAGTCTGAAAGCACCTCCGGAGGGGCATGGCCACGCTGCATCCCTCCTTGGGATTCTGGCCACGTGCGCCCAGCACGATTTTCACGCCACGGGCTTCAGGACTCGAATGGCACCACCGGCCGTGCAGCATCCAGTGCCTTAACCTCCGCACCACTGCTGGCCCCACTTTTTGTAAGAGGCTATTCTTGCAGTCACAGTAGTGGTTTTTTGTTTTTTTTTTTAGAGAGAGATTTTTGCTATAGAGCGCGTGTACTCGCCGGAAAGACAGAGAGACAGTGAGAAATCGCTCCACAGAGGGGATGGCCACGCTGCAGTCCTTTCTCCTCCATTCTCCTCTTTAAATCTTGGGCACGTGTGCACATGCGCCCGGCGTGAGTTTTAAGTCACCAGGTCCGGGACTCGAATTGCAGTTGACTACATGTGAGTCCAACGACATAATCACTACGGCATTTGCTGGTCCTATATTTTTTTAAAGAGTTTTTTTTTTTTTTTTTTTTTTTTTTTTGCTATAGGGCACATGTGCTCTCTGGAGAGACAGAAAGCTAGAAATCACCCACCCTGGGGGTGACTGGTCATATCGTAATCCCTTCTCCACCATAAGCCCTTCTCCTCCGTTCTCCTCCTGGGATCTTGGGCATGCACGCACACATGCCTAGCATGAGTTTTAAGCTACTGGGTCCAGGACTCGAACCATAGCCGACTACGTGGGTGTCCAGTGACATAACCATCATACCATCTACAGCCTCAGTCACAATAGTATTTTTAGTTAAGACAGGAAACTTTCCAATGGCTGGCGGGGTGGGGTGAGCTGGGGGCGTTATCTGGGGGAGACATGAGACTGCAAGGTTCAAGACAGTGACACCGGCCTATTGCCCTAGGTCCCGGCTGGAGGGTGGTCTTGGAGAGGTGACACTCCCTGCAGCCACTACGGAACCCCGAGGGCCACAAGGGGGTAAGTGCCCCGGGAGAGGGGCTGGGCTGGGGAGGAAGGCAGCTGGGCAACCCTCAGGGGTGTGGGAGTGGAAGACCCCACAGCAAGGGCCGCCTGCTTTGGCTCTGCCCTCATGGTGACCACGAGGAGCCGCGGCTCCCCTCTGGCTGAAGAAGCCCAGAGTACACTGGGGGCCCCCATTCCCCGAGGCTCTGTTCAGCTGGGACCCGGCACTCGCTCGCTGCCTCCGCTGTCCTCACACCCAGGCTGCCCTGTTGGTCCATGCCCACCTCCACAAAACCGACTCTGACCCCATGGAGCTCGCTGCAGGAGAGCCGCGCCTGCTGGGACTGACTGCACGGAAGAGCTGGCATGTGCGAGGGCCCTGGCCACGCCCCTCGCTCCCAGGCTAGTGGACCAGCTGCAGGCTGTACTTGGTAAGAGTTCTGTCCCTCCAACCAGAGGCAAGGCCCTTGGAGGAGAAAGATACAGGGGAAGTCCCTCACTCAATTCATTCACCAGCCAGTTTTATTTACTCACAGAACAGGTGCAGAGCCCTGGGCTCAGGCCGCGCCGACCCCACTTCCTGGCCCTGCCCTGCTAACACTGACCATGCCGTCCCGCTCCACAGAGGTGCCAGTCCCCACCACCCGTGAGGTAGGCACAACACCCTTCCCCTCCTGATCCATGTCACAGATGGGGAAACTGAGGCACACACTCAACACAGAGCACATCACAAAGGAGTCCAGGGTGAGCCCAGAGTTTGAACACGAATGATTTGGTTCTCAGTACCGGCTCGTCAGCATCGCCTGTCCTCTTCCTGTCCCCTGGTGACTGCCATGAACAGGAGCTCAAGAATGACAAACTTTCTGCTGAAAGCCCCACAGACCAGCCTAACAAACCTGCAGAGCTCCAGGCCGGCGCGATGAGGCTACAGCCCGCCCCAGGCCCCAGGGGCCACAGCGCTACCCAGCAACACCCCGGCACGTGGGCGTCTGTGACAGCGAGCACCCCAACGTCCTGGCCCTCAGCCCTGCATGACACGTACAGGTGGAGGCCGATTTTAATAGCACCCTCCAACGGGCTCAGCGCAGACAAGGCCGCGCGTCCTGGCGGCGACACCGCGGCTGCACGGTCTGGGCCTAGGGTCCATAGCAGCCCCGGGAGCCTCGTGCTGGGAAGCGGCCGCGGTGGGCGCTTGTGGGCTGCAGGGCTCCAGCCACGGGCTCAGGAGCGGCTCCGGTCCTCGTGGCTGCCCACGATCATCTTGCTGTAGAGCTTCTGCTGCTCCTCCTTGAACGCGTCCTTCACCTTCTCCCGCTTGAGCCCGCCGTCCCTGGTGGGGAAGGGCTGCGCGTGAGGGCAGGCAGGGCCCCGCCACCTCCGGAGCTGGCAGGGAGACGCAGCCGCTGCTCAGGACCTAGCAAGGCCTGCTGGGAGCAGGGGCAGGCACTCCACACTCACTCCTCAGCCTCTCAGAGCCCACCCTTCTTGCCCAGAAACTCACTCCTTCTTGTAGTCAAGAACTTATTTTCCAAGAGTCTTGCTCTAGGGTGAGTGTGCTTGCCAGACAGAAAGCGAGAGATCACCCCCTCTTCACGACAGGGGACAGGGACTTCTGCCTTCCCAAGGAATGGCCAGTTCGGCCAAATACACGAGGCAGGAGAAAGCCACCGGGAGGTGTCCAGACTGGCACCAGGTTGTCCCTACCTCGAGGGAGGACACTTTGGTGCCCTGGGAGACTGAAATGAACCCCAGGAAGGCGCCCAGAACCGGTGCCTCAGTCCAGGCGTCCGACTCTGGGGCACATCTGGGTGGGACAAGGAGAGCCAGAGCTGCGAGTTTTGATCCACAGCAGGGAGCCAACGACAGTATCTGTTGCAGAAATGCACGTCCCCATTCCGGCTGGTACAGGACACAGCCTGGCTCTAAACTCACCACAGCAGGTCCACGAGGCCTCCCTGCCGGGCGATGGCGGACTTCACTCTGTTTGCAAACTGGACGGCATCTTCCTCTGTCTGGAAGAGAGAATGAGGGGCGCACTTGGCCCAGGCTCAGGCCTGAGGGGAGAGGGGAGGCCTCAGGCGGCTCTGGGCACCCACCTCTCTGGTCATGGGAGGCAGGTACCAGACGCTGCAGACAATGGCCCAGCTGGTCATCATCCTCAGCAGGTAGGCCACCATCCCGTACTTGCTGCTGTTCCAGAAGGCGTCGCCGAACTGAGGGTCGTACTGAAAGAGAGGGATGGTCAGAGCAAGGCCTCCAGTCCCAGACGGATGTCAGGCCCCTTCTGAGGGGCCACTGGGCAGCACCCGAATCCAGAAGCTGCCCCCTGGCAGTTCTGGGCTCCGGCTCCCGGAGCAGGCCACACCCCTGCTGTAAGTTACTGGGGAGGGCCCGGCAGCCGGCACCTCTGATGAGCTCCAGTCCCAGAAGTTGAGGTCGGCCACAGACTTGCTCAGCCAGAAGCAGACAGCACAGGCGATGGGCCCCCAAGTGCCCATGCTTCACTGCGTGCTGCGTCACCCCACGGCTACCTCCAGCATGTCATCCACGTGGACACACGTGTGATGACCCCACAGAAGGACCCTTCCTCACCTAGCGAGGCTCTCCCCTGTCATTCCTGGTGCCCAAGACTGAGCAGGAGACAGCAAGTCTCCCTCTCACACCACTGGCAAGGCCTGGGACAGCTCAGGCAGGAGGCAGTGTGACACTCGATCATCCCTGTACGTCTGCATGAGGAAGCACAGATGGCCCCACGGGGCGCGACCACACAGGCTCTGCACCTCCCATGACAAGTGGGCGTGGCAGACGCTGGCACTTCCAGTGTTACCGTCACCAGCGGAGGCAAAAGGCTGCACCTGGATGGCATCTGGGGCCACGGCTGTGCCCACACTGTCACCAAACAAGAGCAAGTCAGGTGGCAGGCAGCTGGGTAGGCGAGGTGCTGGGGAGGGAGCTGAACAAGAAGCAACAGAGAGCGAGCCCTTGACTCTGGGAGGAGTCTGGGAGCTGAGGGTCAGGGCCTGTACCCTTGTGGGAAGGTCTGCTGCGGCCAAGGTGTGGACTGTGAGGTGATGAAGCAAGGGCCTAGGGCCTGGCCTCTACCCTGCAGCTCCAAGCTGCCAGCAACATCAAAAATGCCTTTTGGGGCCAGCGGGTGGCGTAGAGGTTAAGGCGTGGGATCCCACATGGCTGACTCAGCCATTTGAGCCCTGGACTCAGCAGCTTGAAAATCACGCTGGGCACACGCCCCAAATCCTGAGAGGAGAGGAGAGAAGGGACTTCGGCATGGCCAACCCCCCGGGGGCGGACTTCACACTTCCGTCTCTCCCTCCCTCTCTCTGGCAAGCACACACACCCTATAGCAAAACCAGAACAAAAATCCCTTTCCAGCCCAGGTGCCAGGGTGCAGCAGTAACTCAAGTGCCCCGCAAAGCTGGAAGCCACGTGGTCGACGGCAGGTTCAGATCCCAGGTCAGCATGAGAAACACGGGGCGTGCATTGGGGTGCCCAAGATCCCGAGGTGCTGAAGGGCCAGGGGAGCTGGAGAGCAGGGGGATGAGACCCTACCCAGGGTGTCCCTCTCCTCTGCGCCCATGGAGATGGAGAAGGGCCACCGGGCGGGGACCGCGCTGGAGACTCCTGCATTGTGCACAAGGTGGGGCTGGCCCCTCCAGCTGAGGCTTCAGACTCTCGGAATAAAAACTGGGTAATTTTGTCCTAACTACAGAAATGAAGACATTTAGGCTTAATGAAGAAACTAGATGGTTTAATTACTACAACCCTAAAAAGAAATAAAGCAGAAGAGTACGTTTCTAAACTCGGGAACGTGTCCGAGTAGGAAGGCGCTACTCGATTCTAGAAAGCACAAGAAGGTCCCTCCAGGCGAGAGCGTGAGCACCCTCTGTTCAGGGCTGATTCGTCCACACGGGGCTGACGCCGTAGACAAAAGACACCAAATTCCTCAAACTCCGAGAACGACCCACTTTGGGTGGAAATGTAACTGCTAACAGGACGAGAGTCTGGTCCCCAGAAAAGGCTCAGACAGACCTGCGGGGCAGATGGACCCCACCTTCGCCCTGCAGGCCGATGAAAACGCAGGCCAGCCGCACACGCTAGTGTCCTGTGGAGTGGAGTGTCACGCCCCAAGGCTCCCCAGCCCAACAGCAGCAAAGCAGCAGAGCCCCCGAGCAGGGTCTTCACAGCGGCCCCTGGCCGGCACAGCCAGCACCCCCAGAATGCGTCAGAGTGACAGCCAGCACTGGGGCCTGGGCCATACCCCATCCGTTCCTCCCCAGCACGTGATGCAGGGCGGCTGTCGTGGGCCCCGAGGGCTTCGGTCAGCAGCTCCAGGGCCATCTGAGGTGACGCGCAGACGCCACTCTACGAGAACGCAGGGTGGCCTGTGCCCCACCCCACAGCAGTCCCACCAACACTGTGCTCCCTTTCCCGCTGCCCCGGAGGCAGCATCCTCCACCAACAGCCAGGCCTCCCTCCCCCGCCACAAACGGCCTGAGCCAGAGCGT